AGGTAGACCCAAAAGATAAACATATACACAAAAGTAAGCATTATCATATACAATCTCAGATGTAGAATATGTTTGTAACAGTGGAACTACTCTATGGAACTTGGAGAAAGAGGGAAAGGAAAAGAGAATGACACAGCATCAGTAATATCACAAAACTTAAGACATGAAGTAGAGGACATAGGATGTGTACTGAAAGCTGTTGAAAAATGGAGTGTGGGAGGTAAGGGGGGGGTAAGGAAGAGTAATGGAAGGGGTTGAACAGACCAAAATAAAGCACACCCACAGTGGGCATGCATTGAGACACCCCTTTGAATGTCAACTTAAATATTAATAATGAAAACCAGGACTGTAAAATAGGCAAAGTGTGTGTGGAGTGGGGGTAACTAGTGGGAGGAGAGGGTGAAGGGAGATTAAGGTGACAGTATATGCCAGATGGACTTTATTTACGTATATGAAACAGAACTAAGAAACCTCTTGCAATTTCTTTTAGTGGGGTGGGGAGGAGGATGAAGGGGAGGGTGATGGGGGCAATGTAACTAATGTATAATATAAGTCTAATTGGAATTGTCACTATGAATCCCCTCCTGTATAATGAATATATCCTAATAAAAATTAAAAAAAAAAAGACTTGGCACTCTTAATTACACATCAAGCAACAGAGCTTGGAATTATGTTAAGAAAAAACTAGAGAATTTAAAGGAGAAACAGTATTTTGGTTTGGATCTTTTTCCTTTTGTGAGACAGAAGGGACTCACTACTTAACTTGCATGCCATGATTTGGAATATTAATGGCCCCCAAAGGCCTGTTGCACTGCTGAGAAGTGCTGGTACCTTTGGGAGATGGGGCCTGGCGGAAGGCAGGGTGAAACAGACACTGAGACCCGGGCCCCTTCCTCTCTCTGCCTCCTGGCCGCTGTGAGGTGAGCATCTTTGTTCCACTATGAACTCTGACATGGTGCTCTGCCTTGTCAGAGTCCCAAGCACAATAGAGCTGGAGAACTACGGATAGAAACCTCTGCAACATGAGCCAAAAAGAACCTTCCCTCTCTCATTAGCTATGTTGGATCCTTTCCACCAAGTGAGACTCAGCCATGTGAAGAAGGGATGAACCAGAATCTCCTTGGCAAGCTGGACCCATGACTGCCCAGCAGTCCACTGAGTCAGGACACTCCACCTGGTCAGAAGAGACAAGGGATACCACACCTAGATTCTATCTCTTCGTCATGACTCATGGTTAAGTCTCACTCAGTGAGGCAGAATCAGCACTCCTATCAATTGTGGGAAGAGTTGTGAAGGTGTGAATGATAACTGTAGAAGTAACTATTCTGTGGTGTCAGATTTCTATCACTGGAGCAATACAAACTGTTCTTATATTGGACATTTGACCTAAAATTCTGAATAAACTTCCACAGAGAAAAAAAAAAATGTTTTGTAAAATAAAGCGGGGGGGGGGGGAGGAGGAGGAGCCAGGAGCAGTGGCTCACTTATAGCTACTAAGGAGGTGGAAACTGGGAGGACTGAGATGCAAGATCAGCTCAAGCAAAAAATCAGTGAGACACCATCTCAACAAATAAGTTGAACATGGTGGTGCACACCACACCTGTTATTTCAGCTATGTGAGAGGAAGCAGCATGGGCAAAAAGCACAAGATCCTATTAAAAAATAAGGAGAGCAAAAGGGCTGGTGTGTTGTTCTAGTGGTACAACACCTGCCTAGCAAGCACAATGTACTGATTTCAACCCCCAAAAAACAGCCCCCCCAAAGCAATTAATTAACAAAAGGAAGAAAGAAGTACTAGATAGAAAATCAACAAGGATACAGAATATCCGAATAAATGAATATAGCTTAATATCTAAATAAACACCATCAACCAACAGGATTGTGTAGACATTCACAGAAACTCCACCCAAGCAGCACAGCACATTCTCTTCTAGCAGCAACACAGACACAACAGACCACAGGGTTGTGGGGGAAAAAAGTAAAAAGAAATGACACCAATCAAAGGTGAGACAAATCAGAAATCAAGAGCCAACAGATTGGAGGAAATGCTCCAGCACTAGGAAATTCAACAATATATTTCTAAATAATTCCCCAATTAAAGAGGAAGTCTCAAAGGGAAGTCAAGACATTTCAGAAACAGGGCTGGTGGAGAGGATCCACAAGTGGCAGAGCACCTGCGTTCAAATCCCAGTACCACAAAAAAAAAAAAAAAAAAAGAAAAAGAAAAAGAAATTTCAGAATTGAAACAAATATAGAAGATATGAAAACTTGTGGGACAAAGCTAATAGTGCAATGGAAGAAATCCACAGAGAAAAATGTGTGCATCAGAAAGAAAGCTTCAAATCAAGAACCTGATTGCCCACACAAGAAATTAAGAACCAGGCTGGGGATAGGGCCCAAGCCACAGAGCACCATCCTAGCAAGTGCAGGGCCATAAGCTCCAACCCCAGTACTTGCTGGCAGAGTGGCTCAAATAGGAGAGTGCCTGCCTAGCAAACATGACCCTGAGTTCAAACCCTAGTACTGCCAAAAGAAAAAAAATTCAAACTCCAGTACCATCAGAGGAAAAAAAAAAGAACCAAATACAAGCAAAGTAGAAGAAAGGATATAATACAGATCAGCACAAAAATTGCTGAAATTAACAGAAAAGTTATAGAGGGAAAAATATCATAGTGCAGATTAATTTGAAATGACCAAAAAAACTGACAGATGTCTAAGAAAATTGACAAAGAGCAAGAGAACCGGGATCCAGGCAGAATGGCTCAGGCCTGTAAGTCTTAGCTACTCAAGAGGCTGAGAGAGAAGGATGGCCTGACACCTGGAGCTCCAGGCCACCCTGTGCAGCACAGTGAGACCCATGGCTGCCTCTGTCTCTTATCTATGTCTGTGCCATACATACACACGCAGAATGAATAAATTCCCAACATTAGGAATACAACTGGGGATAAGGAATTATAAATACAGACCCTGCTGCCATTAAAAGGATAATAAGGAAATGCTTCAAACAGTGCTAACAATAACTTAGAAAATTTATACAAGATAGAATTATTCTTCAAAAGGATAAAATATTGAAAGTTGGAGATAGATCTTACTGGTGAAGAGCTTGCCTACTGTGTACAAGGCCCCAATCCCTAGCACCTCATTAAAAAACAAAAAATCAAGGGCTGGGGCAGTAGCTCAAGCAGTAGAGTGCCTGCCTAGCAACTGCAAGGCCCTGAATTCAAACCTCAGTACTGCCAAAAAGAGAAAGAAAAAAAGAAAATCAAAACTTATGCATGAAATAGACTCTGAACAGTTTTATACCTAACATAAAATAAACATGTGACTTCAAAGCCTCCAAATAAACAAAAAAATCTCCAGGCCCACCAGTTTACTGTAGAATGCAGCCAAACAACACTAATTCCAAATGCAATCTTCAAGTTACAGAATTAAACTCTGTCAACTTGTGTTGGGAGGACAAGATCACTTAGACATCAAACTAGACATGAAGCAGTTAAAAAAAACCCTAAAAATTAAGAATAACTATATATCATCACTCAAAAAAAAATGAGAAGGGGGGAAGAGGCAAAAATAAGAAAAACTCCATGACAAAATAAAAGCAAATGGAATGATGTCATGACACATGAAGAATTACACTCCACAAACTGTGCTTATTCCAAACCCACAATGAAATGCACCACATCAAGAAGCTGTAGAAGGAAAAATCACATGATCACATCAACTCATGTAGAAAATTCGTATGACCATATACAACACTCGTTTGTAACACAGAAATTCAGCAAGCTGGGAACTAGGGATATGCCATACTTGATAGGGTATCTATTACAACACCTAGGGCCAGGTGTGGTTGTGCACACCTGTAATCCCAACTCTCAGGAGGCTGAGGCAGGAAGATCAAGAGTTGGAGGTCACCCTAGGCTACATAAGAAGACCCTGTCTCAAATCACCAACAAAGATCCTGCAAATACAATTTATATTTTAAAAATGACAAAGTGAAAATGAAACATTCCCATATTGTCAAGAACCAATCACTTAGGGCTGGACATGGTGGTACGTGCCTGCAATCCTTACACTTAGGAAACTTCAGTCTCAGAGTTGGACGCCACCTTGGGCTACATCTTGAGACTCTGCTCTCAAAAGAAAAAAAAACAAAAACAAAAAACCGGGCAAGGTTGGCCTTTCTCACATTTCCTATTGATGTTGTGTGGTAATACACAGAAAAGGTGCAGCAGCAAAAGAAATACAACAGGGCTGGGATGTAGCTCGGTGGTACAGCGCTTGCCTAGTATGCGTGAGGCCCTGGGTTCAATCCCAGCACCAAAAAAGAAAAAAAGACAAAAAAAAAAAAAAAAAGAAATACAACAGTCCTCACAGATGAAAACCCCAAGGGCTCTGTCAGTTGCAATGGCTAGAAATAATGAGTTCAGCAAGATTACAGGATGCCAAACAAGCACAACAAAAATTACTGGGGGGAGGAAGCCCAGACAGGATCTCAGTATGTATCCCATGCTGATCTCCACAACTCATGATCCTCCTACCCACCTCCCAAGCACTGGGATTGCAGGTGTGGGCCACCAGACCAGGCTTCCTATTATGTTTTTTTTCTTTTGTGAGTTTTTGTGTGCTATGGGTCAAATTCAGGGCTTTGTGAATGTGAGGCAAGCACTGTACCAATGAGCTGCATCCTTCTCTTCCTCTCTCTCTCTTTCACACACACACACATTTCTACATTTTAACAAATAACGTAGAAACTGAAAGTTTATCAATGGCATTTACATTAAAAAAAAAAAAAAAGCTGATCACCAGTGGCTCACACCTGGAATCCTAGCTACTAGGGAGGCAGAGATCAGGGAGGTCATGGTTCAAAGTCAGCAGGGGCAAACAGTTCATGAAACCCTACCTTGAAAAAAATCCAATGCAAAAAAAGGACTGGTGGAGTGGCTCAAATGGTACAGCACCTGCCTAGCAAGTGTAAGGCCCAGAGTTCAAACTCCAGTACTGGGGAAAAAAAAAAAAAGTAAACAAAAATCCCGAGGTGTGAATATTAACAAAAATGTGCAGCCACTAATGAAGCAAGCAGAGGAATGCTTAAATAAATGGAGACCTTCTGCATTCACAGACTGAAAGGCTAAACTCAGGAAAGGCACTGACTCAAGCTAGCTTACAGATTTAACTCAATGTTTATGCCAAGTCTGCTAAGACTTTTTTTGTAAATATGGACAAACTTATCCTAACATTTATATGGAAAGTTAAACCATCAAGATGCTAAGTCAGTTTTAAGTAAGAGAGGAATCAGTGCACTCAGTCTGAAGATTTACCACACAGCTACAGCAGACGGACGGAGGGGGGGGGGTCAAGGAAAAGTGTGAGTGTCAGGTTCTCTATCTTGTTATTTGTTTTGAGACAGGGGCTCACTATACAGCCCAGACAAGACCATTCCCTCTCTGCCACCTGAGGGCTGGGGTTACAAGTGTGTACCACCACATCCTGCTTGAGTGTTAGGTTTTTAAAACCATACAAAGAAAGTTTGTTTCTTTTCTTTTAGAAACCAAGCCTTAATCTTACTGGTACAATAAAATATGCCCATTCCTGTGTGTATTACTACCTTAAACACAAAAGTATTTCATGGCTAACGCCCATAATTTCTCATAAAAAGTAACACATCTCAAGAGTAAAGAAGCAAATGACAAAAACATGCAAAAGATAAACTTGGCAGACTTGTCCTCAAATGTCTAAGTTTCCTGACACTGGACTGCAATGAATGTATACACAGGACGAAAAAAAGGCTATAGCCTTTTACCTCTGAAGCAACACTCCCCAACTACACTAAGGAATCAGTGACAGCACCAGAGGCATGGCAGAGATGTGTGAAGAGACCCGTGCTTGTTTCATTTCCTTCTACATCTCCTTTTAGAAACAATTCCTGAGACAACATTGCACTGTAAACAAGGAGAGAAGTGCAACTGAAGGCTTTCCTATGTGCAGGAAAACCCCTGGTGTCTCTCCTGGATGAGCTTTCAGATGGAGAATAAGGCTGTAGGCTGGCTCCATTTTCAAGTGGGTTGCCAGATGACAGGTGACATTTTGTAGCATAAGGGTTTCTCATGGGGAAGACCCTTGTGGGATTTCTCTTTGGCATGAACGCTCAGATGCCGAGGACAACGTCTCCTCTGGCAAGAGGTTTCTCTCAGTGGGTACATTCAAAAAGTCCTTGCCCATCAGAAGCTCTCGGAGGGTAACTGAGGTGTGCTTGCCTGTGAAACGTCTTCCCTCCATCACACTGGGGGGGTTCCTCCCACTGTGCATCCTTTGGTGCTGAGAGAGGGAGGAGCTGCGGCTGAAGGCCTTGCCACACTCACTGCACTTGTAGGGCTTCTCTCCAGTGTGGATGATGGCATGTCGAATGAGGTTCGTGCTCCAACAAAAGGACTTCCCGCATTCGATGCATTCAAAAGGCTTCTCCCCACTGTGGATCCGCTTGTGCCGCGTGAGGCCTGACATGCGGGCAAAGGCCTTCCCGCACTCCACGCACTCATAGGGCTTCTCTCCAGTGTGGATGCTGAAGTGGCGAATAAGGTCTTTCCGATTGGTAAAGGCTTTCCCGCATTCTTTGCACTCAAAAGGTTTTTCTCCAGTGTGGGCTCTTTTGTGCAAAATGAAGGTCGAGCAGTGAGTGAAGGCCTTCCCACAGTCACTGCACACAAAAGGCTTCTCCCCAGTGTGGATGCGCTGGTGCCTCTTGAGGTATGACCTGTGGTTGAAGGCCTTCCCACACTCGAGGCACTCAAAGGGCTTCTCTCCAGTGTGGATGACATAGTGGTGGATCAGGGCTGCGCTCTCCAGAAAGACCTTCCCACACTCGCTGCACTCATAGGGCTTCTTTCCTGTGTGCGTCTGCTGGTGCCACAGGAGGTACGACCTGTGTTTAAAGACCTGGCCACACTCAAAGCATTCGTAGGGATTCTCCCCTCCGTGGACGACATAGTGTCTAAGGAACCCTCCCCTGTGTCGGAAGACTTGTCCACATTCTGTGCACACAAAGGACTTCTCTCCAGTGTGCCTTCTGCTATGCAGGACGAAGTTGGAGCGGTGGGTGAAGGCCTTCCCGCACTCACTGCATGTGTATGGCTTCTCCCCACTGTGGATGCGCTGGTGCTGGGTGAGGTAGGACTTGCGGTTGAAGGCCTTCCCACACTCCAGACACTCGTAGGGCCTCTCCCCTGTGTGGATCATTTGGTGCTGGAGAAGGTGTGTGCTCTTGATAAATGTCTTCCCACACTCTGTGCACTCATAGGGCTTCACTCCAGAGTGGATTTTCTCATGTCCAGCCAGGAGGTGTTTTTTGTTAAACACTTTCCCACATTCACTGCATTTGAAGATATTTTCCTCTTCTTCCTGGACAATCCTTGAGCAAATGTCCCCAACTGTCCCTAAACCATCATGCTCAGGGCTCATTTTCCCAGGAATCTTCTCCCTCTGGGCCTCTGTCCTCAGACTGGAAAGTCCTTCCTGTGTTTCTGATGGAGTATCCTGACTCCTGGCTTGCTGAAATGAGTAGTCCCCTGAAGCTTGTGTCAACTGTCCCTGGTGGGAGGCTCCCTCACACAAGGCTGGCTTGCAAGTGGTTGGTTTTGTGGTCTTGCTTTCTGCACTGTAACCTGAAAGAAATCCAGCACAGAACAGGACCTGTTAGTAATGACAACACAGAAAAACAAAATCACCACATTAATGACAAAAACGAAGCTGACAAGACCACTTCTGTGCTGCTACATTATCAGAAACTTAGGTTGGCAACTTGGTTTTTCCTGGTCCTTGGATTCCAAATATTTCAGGGAGATTGGCGGGGTGGGGGGGGGGAAGCTAAGTGAACAGATGAAGAGTCTGTGGAGGACCTGAACTCCTAGAGTTACCTCACAATTACAAGTGAACAGGGCTGGGCAAAGGTTGAACATCACTGTGTTGGAAGTTTCCTTTAAGCAATGCCATACCACAGTGCTGAAAGAATACAAGGAAAGGTCACTTAATGCAGACCACAGGGAAGACACGAGTGTGTAATGAAAAGATGACCGTCCACGGGGAGGTTCAGCTTTTGTCCAATGTCATGGGATGTAACCTCCAAAATCTGAGACTTTCACAATTCCTTCTCAAATTCGTGGTAGGTTCCTAAATCGCAAAACACACGGGCAACTGATTATTGGCCCCTAAGCAATTTATCCTCAAGAGCTGAAAGGTCTGGCTACATGAGAAGGACAAACCATGTGATTCCAGGTATAGGGCTTGAATGATAGGCACAGTGCATTACACCTGTAATCCCAGCATTCAGGGAGGCTGAGGCAGGAGGATCATCAAGTTCCATGCCAGCCTATAATACATACCAAAACCTGCCTCAAAATAAAAAGAGCTGGGGATGTAGCTCAGTGATACAAAATTTGCCTAGCATGCACGAAGCCTTGAGTTCATACCCCGTACTGCAAAAAATAAGTAAGTAAGTGAGGGGCATGTGGTGTGTCAGGACATACCAGTTAGACCCCTGGAAAGGGAAGCAGCAGTGGACACTGAGCCACTCACACTGGGGGATGACTTACCTGACTAGGTTCAAATAACGAAGCTTCAGTAAACCCTGCAGGTGGCAGCCCTGGTGAATCTCCAGGGCTAGTAAAAGCTAGCACACGTGCCACACACCATGGCCAGGCAGAACACAAGGTCACAGAGGCTCATGTCTGGAACTGTCCAGCCCTATACCATACATCTCTCCTAATTTGTACCTTTTTTATAATAAACACAACTGTGAGTGTAATAGACTTTAGGGAGTTAGGTGAGTGCTTTTAGCAAATTAGTAAAGCGGAGGGTGGTTTGGAGTAATTCTGAGCTTGCTGTTGGTTGTAGAAGTGGTGGGTAGTCTCAGACCCGCTGAAGTGAATCCTACTAACTACAAAGGAGTTGGTGTAAAGAACAAGAGGGCCAGGACAGAGACATGCAACAAGAAGAAGACCCCCAAGACTCCAAGGTTCTGTGAGGATGGCCACTGCCACTCTCAGGACAAGGCTCAACAGGCTAGAGGTGATGGAGTCTGGCTGAATATGTTGAATCTGGCACAATGCAGCATAGTTTGGTGAAGACACAGGAAAATACACATGATTTGGATAGAGAAACTGTTTCGGGTACTGGGAATGAAACAGGGGCTCACAAACCACATGCTCTACTACTGAGCTGCACGGCCAGCCCCTAGACTGAGAAATCTTTAACACTACACTTAAAGACACTGAAAAAGATTGATATTAGAGGAGAACTCAGTAACAAACTGACAATTCTCTCCAAATCAATGTGGTTCTGGCTCAGAGAAAAGACAAACTGGTAATGAAAGAACAGAAAAAGAGCTGGGGCATGGTTCAAGTGGTGGGCACATGCCTAGCAAGCACACAGCTCCAATTCAAACCCCAGTACCACCAGAAAAGAACAGAATGGTCAGATGCACTCACACGTTCTCAGCTTTGGGGGATTGCACAGCAGCTCAGAGCTCAGACAATGGTAAATGAAGCTAGAAAAATTCGCTTCTCACTTCTCAAGTGGTGTTCTCATACTTGAGCCATGCCCCAGCCTATTTTTTACGTCAGTTATTTTTCTGATAGGGTCTTGAACTTTTTGCCCAGGGCCAGCCTCAGATCTTGATCCTCCTATCTGCATCCTCCAGTAGCTGAGATTATACCACCATACCAGGCCTCAAGCAGCATTTAATATAATATACAAAATCAGTAAGCCTATAAAGTCACCAGTTAGACTATACTAAAATAAAAATCTTTATTTAGCACGTTAAAGAGACAACATTAGAAACTAGTAAGTACTACTGAGAATGTATAAAAATTCACCAGGCACAGGTGGCTCTTGCCTGTAATCCCAGCTACTCAGGAGTCAGAGATCAGGAGGATCTCAGTTTGAAGCCAGCCCAGCTAAATAGTTCAAGAGACCCTATCTCAAAAATACCCCTCACAAAACAGGGCTGGAGTGGCTCAAGTGGCAGAATGCCTACCTCACAAGCATGAGGTCCTGAGTTCAAATCCCAGTACCACAAAGAAAAAAAAGAATATACAAAAATTCCTATAAGTCAAAAAGAGAAATTCAAATAACAAATAGTCATTTATCATGACATGATATTTCACAGAGGAAGACCCAAACAGGTCAAAAGTCACAGTAGAGCCAAGCATGGTGGTGCACACTAGTAATCCAGTACTCTTGAGTATGTAAGAACTGGCTATGGCTGGAGGTAAAACCTCATCTACCCGGGGCAAAGAAAAGCCACAGATGTGAGCTTGTGATGATGTGTAAGTAAGGGTAATAATCGAGCAGTACAAGGAGGTATGCTACAGTTTCGGCATGAAAACTTGCTGACACATCAGTGGCCATATGGTGAGGCATCTGTGCCTGGGTAAATAGAACTGGATGGCTGGGGTAGCGATTATGGAGTTGGTGGTGTCATGAGGGTGTGTGAGGTTGCCTCGAGTCATCTCACCATTCACTGGTACTTGGAAAGTAGAAGTGATCAACATCATGGTTTTCTCTATAGACAGGAGAGTGTGGCTGCCTTTGAGATATTAAGCAGAGATTTGGGAATGACAGGGGAGAGGTATGTTACAGACTCTGCAGGACTGAGGAGAGACTGCACAAGACACTAACGTTCTGGGTAAGCCACCAAGGGACCAAGAGAGGAAAGAGACCTTGACTCTGTCCTGTTGCCAATCAGCACCTGGATGTTACCAGTGCTTATACAGTCCAGAAAGATGTGTGACCAGTCACCTTGACTGTAAGAGGGAAAGGGCTGCTTCTTAGGGTGTGATCACACTCAGTATGAGGAAGGAGAAGGTGGGAAAGGGTGGCAGGCACAACAAAGCTGGAGAAGGAAACTAGGGGAGCAGGAAAAGCTCTCTTCCTCAGAGCTCTGAAGGAAGTGTGAGATACTCTCATAACAGGGGCTTGAGGAGCACTGACTCCTTACTTGGGGCCATGAATTAACAGAGGACTGTGATGCCCTTTTCCATATAAATGGAAAGAACAAATTGACCATAGGGAGAATGTAACAGTGATGACAAAGGGAAACACTTCTGGTGCAGCCAGCCTACGTCTGGTCAGTTTTGCCGTGCTTTGTCATTCAGGGATTTAAACGAACATTTTTTTCCCCCTTTTACTCTTTCTCCCCATGCTGGGAAGCCCAATTTTACCACTCTATTCCTCAACTAAATCAGGCAATCTTCTCCCCTCATCTCTCTCTGACCACCACAAAGTGAACCTCTCTCAACCAAGACACACTGCTTTGGGAATGTGGCACCAGTAAACAGAGACAGGAACCAAGTCCAGCACCTGCTCTGGGACACACGTTGTCACGTACCCCAAAACTGAGTTCCTGAGCTCCTCCTGAAACAGCTGACATTTCCTTTCAGAAAAAGCTTTGTAGCTTTGAGGCAATAACCCACACTTTTCCTTGGCAAAATTAATAATATTTATTTCCTTTTCCTCAAAACCCTACCTCATTATGTGTGAACACATTGAGTTCAGGGGACTGAACTTCCAATGACGTCCTTCTGTGAAATGACAAAGCAATAAAGTTCACTTTTGATGCACCACACACTATAACTCACATTTCTCTTTAACATACCCAATGGTTATAACATCTCTGAAGAACCCAATGACAATCTACAATTATTATCAATTTCCAGGAACAGGCTGTACACTGAACTGAGCAGATGTTCAGCACACAATGTGTTCTTCTCTTAGGACATAAGCTCAGTCACATATCTCAGCCCCATGGACCCAAGTGTAATCAAATGCCTAGTTCCTGTGGGTGGAAGGTGAGGGGAACCAGTGTTCCTGGAATGGGTGTGATGTGCCTTCCTCTCTCAATCTTGTGTCAGCTGGAGGATGGCAGACAACCTCAAAGCCAACAGGCTGATAAAGAAGGAAACAGGATCCCTAAAGAACCATGTGGTACAGAGCACTCTGCAGACCCTTACACAAACCTCAGCATTAGTAAAAAGAACAGTTATCCTGTGCTGAGCTGCTGACATTGTGGAGTTTGATAAAGCACCTACTATTAACTTATTCAAACTTACAAAGACATGAGATTAACTTTGCTAAGACCACAGGGCTAGGAATTGCCAGCCAGGTTCCAAGACCATGCATGTGGAGCCCCAAGACAAAAGTAGTAACAAGTGAGATGCGGTTGGGAGATCAGAGGAGCCACAAGTCAAAGGGCTCCATGACTCCCAATCCCCAGGGAAGTCACAGTAAGAAGCTTCCCAGGAGGTTCGAGGGCCAGTGGTATCCCAGTGTCACTGCAGGATCTGGGCTCTTACCTGGACAGATGCTTGGGGAGAGGACTCTTGTCACTGTCCACAGCTCCTGCCCGTGCTCCAGCTGGTAGATCAGCTCAGGCTTGGGAATAGGATGCCCTGCTCAGGGAGAAACACAGTGACATGTGGATGTTGGTGGAAAAAGATAAAGACCCTCAATCTCGACTGGGACTGCAGGATGGGGACTGGACCTTGGAGTGAAGCTGCTCCCATCACACAAACCAAAGGCTGACATGTGACTTGGGAGACAAGGGCACCATGCCATTCTACCATCTTACCGTCACTCCAAATAGGTCAGAAACCGGTATTTAGAGGGTATAATCATATCCATGGCTCAGACAAGGGAGTCATCTCAAAATTGAATATTTACAGATTAGTTTCAGTAAACCTGGTGGATTTAAAATGTTGACTTTTTCATCCAAAACAAGGTACATGTATCAGTCTGCTTTCCTTTGTATATCAAAATACTTAAGGCTGGAAAATGTGTAAGAAACCAGGTTAAAGCTAGGTGCTGGTAACTCATGCCTATCATCTGAGCTGCTTGGGAGGACTGTGGTACAAGGCTAGCCCAATTAAGTTTGTGAGACCCCATCTCAACCAGTAAAAGCTGGGTGTAGTGGTGCATGCCTGTCATGGCAAGCTATTCAGGAAGCTGAGACTGGGAGGATCACAGTTCCAGGACAGCCCAGGCCAAAAAAGTTAGGGAGACCCCATCTCTGGGGTGAGCTGGGTGTGGTAATTCACGCCTGTTGTCCCAGCTATGCAGGAAGCATAAAATAGGAAGATCACAGTTCATGCCAGCCTGGGCAAAAAGTGAGATCCTATCTCCAAAATGACCAGAGTTTAAAAAGCTGAAGGCATGGTTCATGTGGTAGAGCACCTGCCTAGCAAGTGCAAAGCCCTGAGTTCAAACTTCAGTACCACCTCCTTCCCCTCCACCAAAAAAAGAGAGGTTTACAGCCAGGTATCCCAGCACTGGGGTGACCGAGGCAGGAGAATCACAGGTCAGCCTGGGCTACATAACTAATTCTAGGCCACTCTGGGATACATAGTGAGACCCTGTCTCAAAAATCAAAAAGGGGCTGAGGCATGACTCAAGTGGTAGAAAGTCTGCATAAAAAGACTGAATGGCTTCTGCACCCGTAACAGGGATTCTCTACCTCAGCCAGACTAACATTTAAGTCCACATAATTCTCTATTAGGGCTGTGGGGGACAACCTGTCCTGAGAGTTATGAGGATGCTTAGCAACATCCCAACTCTACCCACTAAATGCCAGCAGCATCATCTCAGCTGTGTGTAAACAAAATACCTCTCAACATTACCCAGCATTCCCTGCAGGGTTCCCTGCTTGAGAACTGCTGTCATGGAAGGGTATAACCTGGGTGAGAGAGGAGAGTGTGATGGAGAGGGATTCTTTGAATATGTGGTGGTTGGGAAAGTTCTTGGTGAGAGATGCTGGCTGAGAACAGGAACCCAGGTGAAATGCTGTGCTATCCTGAGAATGTGCACCAGGCAAAGAGAAAACAGCCAGAGCTGGGGCAGGTGGGGGCAAGGCGTGGGGAAATATCAAGGACTGCAGCAGAAAGGGTATGGGGCCAAAGCAGGAAGGTGAGTGAAGTTCATCTGGGTCAGACACAGGACTTTTTTTTTTTTTGCATATCCTTGGGACTTTTTAATTTTACATTCTCAGGATAAAGTATCTAAATCTACCAAACTTTTCTGATATATAGTTTTCTCTCTTCTCATTGACAGGAAGCATAATTTCAATTCCTTATAAACAGGCAGGAGCTACCCTAAGTAGAGTTTAAAAACTGCCCTGGATTTAAACCTCTTTTCCTCCACCCTGAATGGTTGGTAATCGGCTTCAAAAAGGGAATCATCTGGGCTAGTACTTCTCAACCTGGGGTACTCCAGACACCATGGGCTGCATCAGGCAGTGTATATGTTGAGCAGACTCTCTGGTCTCTACCAAGAGAACAGGACTACCTCCATCCCAAGTCTGATGACCAAAAGTGACAGCACATGCTGGCAAATGCCTCCCAGAGGGGACCAAACCATGACTACTGAGAAGCTATGCTCGAACCTCTCTCTTCCACAATAGCAGAGGATTTTACTCCTACAGAGTAAACCATGAGGGCACCCAAAAACAAAGAGGCTTGTAACTGCCACAGTGTTGGACAACAACCACTCATGGCACTGAAGGCACGAGAGCTACCTTCACCCCCCTCTCCGCTCCATTCCCCTCAACACACAAACCGGGCTGTAGGGGAAACCTGAGCCATTAAGGATCATTAAGTCAAATTCCTCTTAAGGGAACAGAAGAACCTTAGTTGGGTGCCAGTGGCTCACATCTGTAATCTTAGCTACTTGGGAGACTGAAATCCTGGAGGATTACAGTTTGAGGCTAGCCCAGGCAAATAGTTCATGAGACCCCCCATCTCCAAAAATACCAGAGCAAAATGGACTTGGAGATGTGGCTCAAGTGGTAGAGCACCAAACACCAGTCCCACCAAAACAAAACAAAGCAGAGACTCCGAGAGGCCAGTCTGTGTGCTGAACAGTAGGTAAAGGCTAAGAAGCATGGGCTCATGGATGTCGTGCTGCCTCAAGCTGCCCCACAGAGCCAGCTGCAAAGAGAAAAAAGACAAACATGAAGGGAAGTAGAGACCAGAAGTCTGAGGGTCACAGGAGACCAACAAGCACAGCTGCTCATGATCCAAACTTGCTAAGGTAGAAAAGAAAAAGCCATCTGTTTTTTACCTGTTTTTTTTTTGGAGATAGGATCTCACTTTGTGGCCCAATCTGGCCTGGAAATATCTTTGAGGCCAGCCTCAAACTTGTCTGCCTCCTGATTATTGAGATCATAGGTGTGCACCACAACACCAAGCTACAAAAGGCTATTCTTTTTTTTTTTTTTTTTATGGTAATGGGTTTGAACTCAGGGCTTCACCGTTGCTAGGCAGGCGCTCTACCACTTGAGCCACTCTACCAACTGGGAGCCATGAGCCGAAATCTGACAAGGTCGTTGCGACTTAGCAGGATCCTGACAAGGTCAGAGACTACAGGTGCACCACGTCTCTCACTGGCGTTTAGAGGAAACATGGAGTGGCTCCCTTTGTCTGGAGAAAAGAAACATTAACCTGAAGGTATTTGTTTATAAGAGGTCAGGAACAGGGCACATGCCCTTGGCAACCAGGCTCAGGTTTTGTGTATGTGAAACTAGGAGGTCCGAGTTTTGTTTATGAAACCAGGGAGTTTGGAGTGAGGACATTGTTTTTAAGGTAGAGGGCATTGTTTCCCAGGCATAGAAGTTCTTCTTGCACTGTATAATTTCCTGCTTTGTACTGCTGATAAGCCTGATGCAAAAATAAAAAATTTGCCAGTTTGGTCAGCAGCCTTCTGGTCCTCTCGATTTGTATCTTGACTGTTCATTCCTTTCCTGAGTCCTTTCAGGTCAAGGACTTCTGAGATCCCTGCAACCAGCCCTTGAAAAGGCTATTCTTAACAGACAGTGACATAAGCAGACCCACAAAGCCAGGATGTAATTAAAGTGGTTCAGTTCCACTATCAGTCTGCATAGTCTGATTGGAAAGTCTGCCTTTGGGCTCTATAAAACACCCATCTCCTCCCACCACCTTCTTGTCCATAGTACCCTGGGAGCCTAATGAGACTGTTTCTTGCCCAAAGAAACACAGGGAGATGAGCCAGGAAGATGTGAGTCTAGAAAATGACTAAAGCTATGGGAAGGAGGAAGGGCTGGCTTAGAGGTCTTCTGGACCAGCTGGGCCTGAAGCCAGAGTGTGGAATGAAAGAGGCAGGAGGGCTGGGTGTGCCAGTGTGTGCGGTAATACTGTCTCAATTGGAGAGATGGAGGCAGGAGGATCACTAGTTTGAGCCTAGGCTACATAATAGAACTCTGTCTCAAAAAAACAAAACAAAAAAAGGACAGGAGGGGCCAGGGGTACAGCTCAGTGGTAAACTGCTTGCCCTGAGTTTGATCCCTAGCAAAGAAAAGAGGCAGAAGGTCCACTACGTGGTGGAGAGAGAAAGCCTTACCCAGTGAGACCAAGAGCCCAAAGTTTTCCATCATCACCTCCTGATACAGGGTCCTCTGACCTGGGTCCAGTTGCCCCCACTCCTCCTGTGTGAAAGTCACAGCCACATCCTCAAAGGTCACAAACACCTGGAAACAGAAGTAGTAGTGTTAGCAATGGGACTCTTGGATAAGACAGGAGATTGTGTGTGCCTTTTGGAAAAAAGTGCAATGAGATGAAGGCCCAAATCACATCCTGAAGCCCATGCCAGGTTAGAGGAGGAGAGAGACACTGCTTTGGACATAATGTAGAAGTGAAAGGAGAGAAGCCTTCTTTGCGGAAGCAATTAAAGGATGACAGACGATGGAAAGAACTTGTGGGCAGTAAGGACTCTAGAGTATAATGATAATGACATCAATGACTTGTCCAACTAGGTGTCCACGCCACACTGACTGCTTCACAGTGGATGTGAAAGTGACTAAAAGTCACCATCTCTGAAGCTGGATGCTTTAGAGTCTGAATCCAAACTTTTTTTGGGGGGAAGGATGATGACTGGGCTTCACACTTGCAAAGCAGGTGTTCTACTGCTTAAGCTACACCTCTAGTCTATTTATCCTGGAGATAGGGTCTCGCAAACTATTTGCCTCAAACCACAACGCTCCAGAATCTCAGACTCCTAAGTAGACAGGATTACAGGCACGAGCCATGGTGCCCAGCAGAATCCAAACTCTTGAAACCAACACTAGCTAGCTGTTTTACATCAGAGATGTCACTTCATCTCTCTGAGCTTAGATTTTTGGATCAATACAATAATAGCTCCCACTTCATCAATAATAGTTGTGATATCTTTTAAAATGAAAAAGGTTCAATGCTCAGTGTGCTTTGGCAATTGTCCAAGACATGAGGTCAACACCATCATAACCCTTAAGTCACAGTAAGTGACCTGAAGCTGAAGAAGTTTTACCAATTCACCTAAGTCACACACCTTGTCACCACAGGCATAGTGTGAACACAGGTTACTCTCAATCCCAGTCTAAGAGTATAACCCCAACACTCCTCCAACACCAAAGTGAATAATTAAGTAATCAGGTTGTAAAGCCTTTCCACTCATTTTTGCTGTTAAATCGTTTTCAATCACCCCTGAAAATATTTCTGTGAACATGGCTAGAGGAAACAGATCCTTCATTGCTGACTTCAGGAGAAAGGCACTAGAGGTGTGGGTCATCTACTTGGAGACAGGGCCCAGAGACCAATTTCCCAAGTTTTCTGGCCTTCATTGGGCCTCCTAGACTCCCAGGCAAATTCCATAACAAACCACCCACCTTTTTCCTTCCTGAGGCCAGAACACTTCCAAACCAAGCAATACAAACACCCAAGGACAATACGGGGCTGCAGCCCAGAGAATCAGAACCTTTGACTGGCTACAATGCCTGCAATGGCTGAAGGTACATGATAAAAACCAAACACCCATTTTTGGGTTTCATTGTTGTTGTTGTTTGGTGGGACTGGGGTTTGAACTCAGGGCTTTGCATTGCAAAATGGAAATGGGGAGGGGGTCTTGTGAACAATTTGCTCGGGCTGCCCTAGAACCACAATCCTCCCGATCTCGGCCTTCCAAGTAGCTAGGATGTCGTAAACCACAAAAACAGCCAATTTTGTCCTTCCCACCTTAGCAGCTGGAGGGAACCACGGCAATCTCACAGCCCCTTTGGGTCCAATATACCTGGTCTTTCTCCATGTCCCTCCTTTGCCTCCCCCTGTCCCCCACTGTCCTGGTGCAAAGAGACCTGGTCGGGCAGGAAGGATCCTTGCAGGTCATGATGGAGGAGGAAGTTCTTTACTCTAGATATAATCTGAGTCCTTGGAGGATCACTCACTCACTCAACAACTCATCGAGCATCTTTCACAAGCCCGGCATCCTATAGGACCAGCGGCCAATTCAGAAGCGAACCAGATCCACGTGTCCAAACGAATGACAACTGCGAAGCTAATCCCAGGGGACATCAGGACTCCGGGTCCCTTCGGAAGCCGCCTCAGCCTGCCAAGGCCGAAAGCAGCGATTGCGAAACCACGGCGCGCTCACCTGTGTCAGCTCCGTCCGCGACGCCGCCGCCATCACGGACCCCGCACCTGCGTGAGGGGCGAGCACCTGGGCAGCGCGGACGACCCGGTCCCACGGCGCCCCTCCCTGTCGGGTGACCACCGCCTCCTCCGTGGAAATGGCTCACCGGGGCCAAGGGCTGGTGAGGAGAGGCCGCGGCCCCCAGAGGACACACGCCCGAACAAAGTTGGGGCGTGGAGTTCCTACGCTCCTTCCCGCTGGGCCTAGAAAATGACTCTGGACCGGGAAATCAGCAACTCAAAATACCAAACTGCGGAGGCAAATGGCGTCGACGGTGAACAACTTGGAAACCCCGCCTCTTGGCGGCGACTACGCAGGAAGCGCCTCCGTCCTTGGCGGTTATTGGCTCAGAGCCTACGGCCGCATGCAGCACAGCCTTCTGGGTAATGTAGTCCTTTGACCATGGTTGAAGGACGCTAGGAATGCCGCATCTTTGAAGTCTCGCTTCAAAGATGCAAGGCACACCAGGTTCCCATCGGCAACTCCAGTGTGGGCACAACTAGGGACACGGGCGATGACCAAGGAACAGAGCTGAGACTACCATTCTTCGTCCTTGGAACTTGAAATCTGCGGGTCAGATCATATCAGGGCTAGTGCAAAAGCGTGTTAACCGAGATGTCCCTTGGATTAGCTTCAGTTGTCATTTGTTCGGACACATGGAGCTGGTTTGCTTCTGAATTGGTCCCCGGTCCTATAGGATGCCGGGTCTGTGAAAGATGCTCGATGAGTTGTTGAGTGAGTGAGTGATTCTTCTTCCAAGGACCCAGATTATGTTTAGAGTAAGAACTCCCTCCTCCATCATGGCCTGCACCATGGCCCCCAACTGACCTTGTCACCTGGCCCTTCCTCTTACCCTCTTACCTCCTCCCGGTCTTTTTTTTTTTTTTTTTTTTTTGGCGGGGGTGGGGAGGTGGTTGACACAAAAAAAGTAGTCTAATAACCCTCACCGGAGAATGCTGCAGGGGAGTACACTAGTGGAGGAGGTCTTGGAGGAGGGGGAGGACTCCCAATTTCTACCATGAAATGTCTGTCCAACCAAAAAGTTATCTGTGGTAGTTCATCCTGTCTGATCGTAGGGAGAGGGCTCAAGCCTGGATGGATAAATTTGGGAGTTGTCAGGGTTCACTTTTATTCAAGTTATGATTCTGTGTGAGGTCATCTAGGGAATTCGTGCAAATGAAGAAGAATAAGCAGAGCACAAACCCTGGACCAACTCAACATCGTTAAATGACTGACAGCAAGCAACCAACAAGTTCACAGTAAGAATTATAATGGTCCTCTACAAGAAGTACAATAAACAAGCTAGAAATCACCATTGGTGATTTTTTTCATAACCATGGAGCTGAGAGAATAAAATATATCTTTCATAAATTGAGGATGTATGCAATTAAGAAATGGGATTAGGAGCTGGGTGCCAGTGGCTCACGCCTGTATCCTAGCTACTCATGAGGCAAAGATCAGGAGAATCATGGTTTGAAACCAATTACAACACCCTATCTTGAAAACATCCATCGCAAAAAAAGGGCTGGTGGAGAAGCCAAACTGTAGAATGCCAAGCAAGCATGAGGCCCTGAGTTCAAACCTCAGTGCCACACACAACACACACACAAAAAAGGAATTAAGAACCAGGTGTGATGGTGCACACCTGTAATCCCAGGTGAATTGTGAATTGAGGCCAGCCTGGGCCACAAATAAGACCTTGTCTCAAAAAAATAAAAAAGAATTAGGAAATGCAGAAAATTAAATCAAGGAATTTAATTTGTAAAGATGACAAAGAAGAATAATGAACAGATGTTAATTTTCCAATGAAAGAAGAGCATGTCAGCCAAATTTTGCCAGAAAATCAAAACCATAGGACATATGTTGGGGGGGCAGGGTGAAGGCTTATGGGATAGTGAAGGTGGTAACTCACAAATCCATAGGGTAAAGGGAAATCCAGCAGGCTAGAAACTTGGGCAAGAGCTGATGGTTCAGTTCTGAGAGAATTTCTTCTCCAGGGACTCCTCAGTGTTGCTTTAAGGTCTTTCAACAGAATGGTCTTTTCTGCCAGCAAATCTTCCTGCTACCTCTGTCTCCACATGGCTCACTCATGATTCCCTTAGAGTCTCTCACTTTCTTTTCCTCTCATAGATTTAATTTTGGAATTGAAGAGGTAGGTGCTGGTGCCAGAAAAGGCCAGAACTTAATGAGGCTTTAGAATCAAGCCAAGGTCACAGATGAGATGTATGTTAAGGACAGATTCAACCCAGCACTTGGGAAGCTGAGGTAGGAGGAGCATAAATTCATGGCTACATGGAGAAACTAAAAAACAAAAACAGATTCAAAGTAAATAGCCATGTGCAATTCTGTTTCCCTTGAAAGTCTCTTCTCTAGTGGAACCAACTGCTACTTTGAGTAGGAAAAAGAACATTCCATCCATAACCAGGCATGGTGGCTCTTACCTATAATCCCAATGGTCAGGAGGCTTAGGCAGGAAAGTCATGCCAATACTACCGAAAAAAAAATTTAAGCAAGTGCCTGCTCATATCCAGTGTTAATTAACATTCATTTACTCAACATTCTTATTGAGTGTCCTATGCCAGGCACTGTCCAGGATCCAGGAAATGCCATTAAAAGCTACTCAGTCTTTCCAACTCAGGAAGAATAACTAGAAGGTGGCTAACATGGGTGTTAGTGAGCTCAGATCTCTCCCATGCTCTCTCTGATGTTCACCCCTTTCAGGGTAGACTTCTTCCAAACTTTTAAATCCAAAATGACAGCAGAAACAACATTCCCCTCTGTCTGAGATAATACATCTATCATTCATCTAGATAGAAATCCACCTTTTTTTTTTCCAAATGGGGGAATCCATCCATCCCTGAATTATTCCAAATTATTCCGTTTATAGCTCAGCCACTACTTTATCTTTATTTCTTATTACCTGGAGAATGAAATGAAAATCTAAACACCAGAAAATCACACACATGATCATAGTAAATAAAGATAAGGATCAAGTGAAATTTAGCTATATGGTAGATTGTGGGAGAGAGTGACATCAGGGTGGACAGTTATACAGGGAAACTAAAGTCCTCCTTTTTTTCCCCCAGGATCGTGAGGTCATGATTGGTTACATAATATTCTTGGTATTGAGTCATGGTCTCACTATGTAGCCCAGGCTGACCTTGAACTCATGATCCTCCTGACTTGGCCTCCCAAGTGCTGGGATTTCAGGCATGTGCCACCACACCTGGCTGATTACATCATTTTAATTGTCAGCTGAAAACACTATGAATTATTTTCTAGTGTTTCTATGAAGTAAGTGGGTATGGGAAGTTCTGGTCTTTGTTCCTGAGGGACTGAGCCTTAACAGTCCTATCTATGTAGAGTTGCTCTTCCATTAATGCTGGACTAGGTTGCAGCAAAATGTTCTCAGTTCTAGTCATGTACTGTTTCTATCGCAAAAAGCGATACCCTATCTCCCAAAATAATTACAGCACAAAGAGCTGGAGGTGTGAATCAAGGCTGGGCATGGTGGTATGTTTCTGTCATCCTGGCTAGTGAGGGAAGTACAAATATGGAATGAACCATCAGACAAGAAGAGAGAACCCTCTTCCCCATGGATCAGGAAGTGTCCAGTGACCATGGAAACCACCTCTGGTGAAAATTGGTACCTCTTTTGTGGGGACATGGTGGAGATCTTCAAGGGCAAGGATGCTGGGAAGCAGAACAATGTCATTTCAAGTTCTCCAGCATTGAAATTGAGTGGTCCTGGAGGGGTTGAACACACATTACCATGAAATTGGCAAGACCAAAGATCACCAGGGAACCATGACCCCTAGTGAAGTCCCCTGGCTCACCATGAAGCCAAACTAGAGGATCCCGTGGACAGGAAACCCACTGGGATTGAGTGGAGATTCGCCAAGGCAGCAGACCAGGTTCATCTACAAGATCAGGAAGAATTTTCTCCAAACTTGAATTTCCCAGGGCCAAAAACATCATTTCTGATGACCCCAAGGACACATTAGTGGAATATACTCTAGAAGTAACCTAGGCTCCTCATCGAGACACTGGAGGAAGAGGTGATGGAGTTAATGAGGATTCAAGAGACCCAGAGACTCAAAAAAGTCTATTGGTATTGAGCCAGGGAGAACAACTTCTCCCTGCTGTTTTTGCTTTGAAGTCTGAGGCATCTCTTCCTCAGACAGCAATAAAGAGTCCTGAGCAATGTGTGCATTTAAAAAAAGTTAAAAGAGTTCCTTGGCCACAGACAACAATGTGTGGGATACTGTGATGGGAAGCAGTCACCAGTCGGGGTGACTGTGGTCCCAGTAGATGTTTAGCTTCTCTAAAGACATTAACAGATATTTACAATTACTAGGTACAGGTTAGGGATGTTGTTGAAGATCCTAAAATGTGTAGGAAAACCTTCTACAACAAAGGATTATCCACATTCCAGTGTGATTGTGCCAGCATTGAGAAAAACTGCCCAGGCCAGGAGTGAACAAGCAAAGAACCCAACAGATGTGTGACCTAGAAAAAAATTGTTCATCACCATTTCTATTTTCCTGGGACACAGAGTCCCATCCTTCTGCGAACAATTGCACTCGAAAAGGAAAGGCAAAAATGCCAAAGACAGAGGTAATGAATGGTGGAGCAATGATGTGAACTTAGAGGGAGGATATGGAAGGAAAGGGCAGAGCCTGTGCAGTTATGAGTAGGGTCAGGAGGGGATGGATTTCTAACATATGTAAAAGGATTAAATGGAATCCTGGCATTCTGGAAATGTTGTAGATATGTTGTATTTTTGAAGCCAGTAGTTTTACCTAAGCTTGTTACCATTATCATCATTTTAAATACATCAATGTGTATAGATTCACCAGTTGTGACTGATGTCTTTATGGCTGTAAGGATCGTGGCATTCTGTATTCTTGTGATCTGTGTAAATGCCTTGATTTTAGAGTTTGTTCCTTTTCTTACATTCCCTGCTCCTTGGTAATGCTCAGGATGGGCAAACAGACACAGGAGATGGATAGCAAGGCAGGTGGGTCAGACATTGACAAACATGGAAAAGTTATAAATTGTACTTCTATAATGTACATAAATTACAATCTACAAATTATGTGTACACATATTGTTACAGGAAATTGGGAGCTGAGATAGGAGTCTCTGAGGCAGAATAGTAGGAAGCAACATTTATTGTGTCAGCACAGACCAGTGGACTCATGTTCAAAGGCTGAGCCCTGAGGACAAAGGGGTCTCACCTTATATACCCTTGCAACAGGTTACAGAAGCAAA